CTGCTGAGATCACGTGTGCAAGTATGTCTGTTTACGTGGAGGTAGAAAGACGAGACTCTCTGTATAGCTGATATATTCGTTTGCTGGTTTCTAGCTAATGGTATCGTTTCGACGCTATCAAAAATACACACTTTCAGAGAAAAATAATTTTTTATTTCGCAGCTCATAGGTAACTCTTCGTTTTGGTAGAACAATCTTGGAAATCGGATTCAGACGGATGATTTATGCTCGGACATTTTGCACTTGATTAAACACAGCCGCTGATAATTACAATCCCGAACGAAAGCTCATTGTTTTGCTGAATGCGATGCGATTAAGTGAATCCGATTATTTTCAACGTGTCTCCCTTCTTTCCATCCACTTTCCTTCTCCTGCCTTTCTGCCTCTCTTCGAGTCTCTCTTTTACTCTAGTTTATTAATATTATTACGTTTTATTTATAGTTTTATACGTTTTCCTCGACGACAGTTTCTCGATTACCATCCGTCTGTAATATTCGAATATCGGCTAATACGTGTTTCGAGGGTGTGTGTGTGTGTGTGCACAGTTGTGCGAATAATTGCGTGCATACAACTTCTGCGTTGTACTAGTCAGTTTCGCTTAATTTGAAAAAGGACACACATCCTTTATACGCAAGCTTCATCGCTTCGATCGACGTCCCGTAACGCTGTGTTACTTTAAAACTAGATCGCGTTCGTAATTCGCAGAGAATGAGGCGCACGTTATAAAATCAGATTTATTTACAATTCTACAAGACCGATTTATATTCCTGTACAAATCGTTGAATCGCAATGACGTATGCGAACCATTTAAAAAATTCTAGTCACCATATTAAAACATTGCTTCTGACTCTAGACGTAAGCCAGTGTGTATCGTTTAACAGATATAGTTCACTTATCACGTAAAGTATCGCTAATCATGGCTCCGAGATACGCGTGCTTTCGTGAAAACTATCACTACTTCTGCCATTTTCATTTATTTCCCCCGTTTTTCCGTCGTCGTCTAAGACCATTGCAATCGCGTGCAATGTCTGACACAGTCTTATTAAAAAACGCAGACCGTACCGGTCGATGTGTTATGTACAGTTTTTGTACATTCGATAATCGTACAATAGTCACACTTCCAGGGATCCTGAAAACAACTTCAAGACAAATTAGCATAGTCTTATTGTCAATTTTGAACGTCACTTCACCATTTTGCCCTAACACTCCAGTCTTTTGGTGTCCAATGAAGACACTTAGGATCTATTCTGATTTGCCTCTTTTCCATTGCTGCTGCGTGTTGCTCGATAATCTCCCTGTGAATAAACATGTTTTGTCAGTGAGATACTGGAAGAAATCCTCGGTATGGAAAGAAGCTAAATGTCTGTATAAAATGTCTGCACGACTCGTTTTCCCTAATGACGCATTGACTGATTTAGCCAATTACCTATTCAATGTCACAATATATTGTCCTTTGTAGTAATTAATGAGATTCAAGTTCTGAAGCGTCGATATCACGTCTTCTTTCTTAATCGACGTCAGCTCACATATCTCACTTATCGTTATCTGAGGCTTCTCGTTTTCTACTAATGGTTTTATATTCAACAAAATGTCCAATATAGTATGCGCCCAGTAACTTCTATAAGACAGCAATCCCAAATCTGACAGTGGCTTTTCAGGTGAACCTGTTTTACCCTCGAATTTGGACAGTTCGTAAGAAAATTCTATCAACAATTTTCCGTAACCCCTTCTTTGATAGGGTGGCAGTGTAAGAATACAAGCTACGTTATGATCTTCAGTCGATTCTTTCTCTTTTGAAAAATAACCAACTATATGGAATCCTCTACTATCAAAATCTGTCATTACATAGAATAAGAAAGGATCCGTATCATAGTAAAGCGTTTTATGATCTAAAAATAATTTTGCTAGTAGACAAAGGTTTTGTGCGTAATTCTTATTCTTTCGGCCATCAATTTCAAAAAATGATATTGAGCCTTTTCTATATATTTCATTGCCAGGAGGATGTCTTAAATTGCACTTTGCTAAATGTCGTTCCAAACACTTTCGACTTTTTCTATACTTCAAACAGAATTCACAAATATATATACACGGTAGATTTACCATTTCTTGCGGATAAGGGCTAAAATACCAAGGTCTTATTCTGTGACGACCTAATTCTATCAGTTCAACATTTTTCATTCTAGTAACTATATCATCGTGATGATGTGCAACCAATGAACCAGTCGGCCTTGGACCAGGCGTTTGCGGTGTGCCATCCTGAGAGTCTTCGTTTTCTATAAACGTTGCCTTTCTTTTTCTACACATTTTCTTTTGTAACGCAGCTTGCAATACTGCTGAACCATTAACCGGTTCGTTACTAAGGCTGCTAGGGCTAGGAGGTCTACTGGGTGCTTGTTTTTTTGGGGTTGCTGCACCAGTTCCTGGTGTGGTTCCATCTCGACGAGGGTATTGGACTTTCCTAGTGTCCAAACAATCTTCCATAACCCATTCATCTAATCGTTTATTGACTAAAATATTGTACATTTAGTTAAATGCTTGTTTATGTACATACATATAACACCTTTCTTCTTAATTCGCGTTATACTTACAATCTACATAGTGAACATAATAACACTTGACACCATGTACGTCTTTAACACTGATGATTTCAGCAAGAGCTGTGGATGACAAAAGGAAATTTTTGATAAACCCTTATGATTACACCTAAATCAATGGAATCATAATTGACTCCCAAGAAACAATAGAAGACCGTATGTACACAAACTATTACCATCCAAAGTACCTAAACATAACCTAAAAGCTGAACTAAACATAACGTATGAATAATGAGCGCCAATAATTCACTAAATACATTCTCGACTTGCACGATATGATTTTAACGAATTAATCAACAGAAATATCCGTGTACCTACAGAATGATTCAATAATGCGATTTAATGACACACTTATTAAATGATCTTTGTCGTACAAAACCATATACATAATTTCGAGAAAAAAATCACGATTCCGGCAAAACAATTCATCGTATGGGAACAAACTGATCGTAAAAATAAGTGTTTTACTTACGCCAATCATCCGTTCCATGCATTCTAACCGGTAAACGACAGCCTTCAACCAGCGAATTCTGAAAGTAAGGTTAGATTACTAAACATCCAGATATTCCTAACTATCGGTCCGTGCCCAAGAAAACATCAATATCACCGTGTTCAGCGGAACATACTACTTACCACCGAGTCGCATATTGTCTCGTGTTCGTCGTGTTCTTCGATCATTTCAATCACAAATGAAGAAACTTTCTACCGAACACGATTTTGTTTTGAAGCGTTCACGGCACTGACGCGAGCGCCCCACCTCTCGCTTCGCACGGCAGGAGAACTATGTTCGAACAGCTTCCCGCATTATCGAAACATTTCGATCTAAACCTCTCTATCGAATATCGAACACATCCTCGTTACCCGCGAAATTCGTTCGAAATTCAAATCGCAAAGAAATCAATCGCTCTTACAACACGCTTTATCGCAATGAAATATTAAAAAGAACCATTGCTCGACTATCATATATCATATCGTGCTTAACAAACACGATATATCAATAAAACATTTTACGCGCATGAAAAAGATAACGTACATAGATACGAAGTCTCGACGTGTTCGAGGTTAAGCGTAAAAACCAACAGGTGTAATTTCCAACGCCTGCCGTTTCGTAATGACGGAGGGGAGTGAAAGGAAGGTACGATGCAAATTCGTGCTCGTGCGTGACGTCAAATAAAATTCTCCTTTAATAATACGACGGGTCGTCGAGGTGCATACGCGATATAATTAAGTAAGAATAATTCAAAGGAAGATACGAGGTGAGTAGCAGGGTTACGCGATACATCATGAAAGATGCTCGCACTTGCACGCAATTAATTCTGAAATGCATACCATTTGGAAAGAGGTTGAATTTAGCGTAACGCCGTTCCCGCGTGTATTTCATACGGCTGCCGTCGTGCCCGTCGTTGCTTTTAAGGTTTGTAACGTAAAGCTATTTTAGTCACTCGAGACAATTTGAGGTGACATCTTATTCTACTCCGTCCGCTGTAAAATAGTAATATCTATACGTAGACGGTAAGTTCCTTCCCGCGTCTCTGTCTATCCCTCTGAGGCATAAATTTCGTATAAAATATTCCCGGCATGAAAATATTCTCTTCCACGGTGAAGTGACATCTTATTCTATTCAATTCCATGCGCAAAACAATCTAGCGCCGCGAGATTACGTAAATTCCCTTTCCGTGTACCTGGCCCGCTAATGCGAAGTCATACTTGAAACATCGTGCAATTTCCTTCCCAACCAGCCACCTTTATTCCGATGACGTTATTCGATACCGACTAATTACGGGCAATAACGTCGACGTTCGTCAGGCTAATCAGATCTCGAATAGACTCTTACTCGTTATTACGGTGTCGTATTGCTCTATTATATGGTAGAACCCACGTTCCCAGACCTTTATTCCCCTTCGGCTTTAAAATCGAATTTTTGGTACGCGAAAATTAGCAGCGAAAAATTGGCAAAATTAGTACATAGGTGTACTTGGAAAAAATGTATTAAATATAAGAATGGGAATAACAGTTGTGACGTAATTAATTGTAGATGAATATAAAAGGTACTTTATGGGCAATGAATTTATTGCATAGTATCCATAATAATATATTAAACGATTATTGCTTTAACCCTTTCACTACGAAAGACGTAAATATACGTCCTCGCAAGTCTATCATTATATACGAAAAACGTATATATACGTCCTCACAAATTTATCAATATATACGAAGGTCTTAAATACAAGCTCCTCATATTTTTCTTACTCTATCACTTTTGCTATTTTACCAATTGATTCCACCTGAAATATAACATAGCAATTGAATATCGGCAATTGTTTCAATATCGTTCTGTCAATTGTCAAATATCGCGACGTCTGTATCGATGATTCTCTTTGAGAATGTACCGCAGTCAAAGGGTTAAATTAGTTATAAAATGATTGACAGGAGATTATGGTATTAGTATGCATTTGGCAAGAGGCTTTTATATTTATAATAATTTTACATTTGATTTGTGAAATATGTGAGATAATTCTTCGAATTTTAAATAGAAAGTAATTGTGTTAACGCATGTTTTAAATGAATTTTTATTTTGTAATGTATAATAATTGGAATTTTTGTATATAATAGATAGGGTATAAATAAATGTATAATACTTTTGATATTTGTAGTATGTAGTTAGAAAGACTTTTGTGTTTAAAAAGTGCTGTATTTGTGACATAAAGTATATGGTATAAACAAAATTTTATGTTTATAGAATAATCACGATATATAACAATTATTGGCACCAGTTGAGAGAAAAATTGGCTAACATTGCATTTGGCAAGAGGCTTTTATATTTATAATAATTTTACATTTGAGGTGTGAAATATGTGGTATAATTCTTTGAATTTTAAATAGAAAATAATTGTGTCAATGCACGTTTTAAATGAATTTCAATTTTGTAATGTATAGTAATTCAAACTTTTGTATATAATAGATAGGGTATAAATAAATGTGTGTCATTTAATATTTGTGATATATAATAACAAAGACTTTTGAATTTAAAGTGTTGTATTTGTGACATAAAATATGTGGTATAAATAAATTTTACGTTAAAAATATAGAATAATTACGATATATAACAATTATTAACAGCAGTTGACAGATTTATAGGCTAAAATTGAATATACTTTCCATAGAAAATTTTAAAAAATTATAGATAGGGTATAAATAAATGTATAATACTTTTAATATTAGTAATATATAGTAACAAAGACTTTTGTATTTAAAAAGTGTTGTATTTATGACATAAAATATGTGGCATAAACAAACTTTACGTTAAAAATATAGAATAATCACGATATTGACAGACTTATAGGCTAAAATTGAATCTACTATCCATAGAAAATGTCAAAAAATTATTTATTATTTACTGACACGTATTTTTTAATTTCAACACAGATACATATGTCATAAAATATAGAATATTCGAAAATTGGTAAGAACACACATAAACAAATTTATAATGCTTCTGAATATAACAAAATTTTACGTTTAAACTATAGAATAATCACAATATATAACAATTATTGACAACAGTTGACAGAAAAGTAGGCTAGAATTGAATATACTCACCACAGATAATATCAAAAAATTATTTATTATTTACTGACAACACTCATACGTACAATTTCAACACACATACGTATCTCCTAAAATAAAGAATATTCGAAAATTGGCAAGATGCCACATAAACAAATTTATAAAACTTCTGACTATAACAAAATTTTACGTTTAAAATATAGAATAATAACAATATATAACAATCGTTGACAACAGTTGACAGAAAAGCAGGCTAGAATTGAATATACTCTCCACAGATAATATCAAAAAATTATTTATCATTCATTGACAACACTCATACGTACAATTTCAACACACGTACGTATCTCCTAAAATAAAGAATATTCGAAAATTGGCAAGATGCCAAATAAAAATTGTTAGAAGAATAATGTCGATAATTGGGAAATCAACGTCACTCGTACATCACTGTACATTCTTACCGGCTGCAGGCGTCACCCAAGTGTCACCCAAGTGTCGTCAGACCCGTTGCTCCGCGGCCGGGCGAGAATCCCGCGAAAAGAATAGGAAAGCGACGGCGAGTCGTTCATTTTCAGATAACAGTCTCATACTAAAATTACGACTGGTTCGATCGACCGTGTCGTATCGAGTGTTCACCGTCGGCTGCCTCCCGCAGTCCTGCGAGGAGCCCCACCCGGCACCACACGTTACCTACGCCTATGTACTCGCCGGGTACATACATGTACGCGCGAAATCTGCACCCGGTTACATATGTACCAGGCACATAAGTGTACTCACATCGGGCATACATAAGGGTTGATAGTGCTCCGGCGAGCAAGCCACCCTTATATGCAGGGCGTGGCCAGAGTCCACCAATCAGAGGGCGGGGAATCCCCGAAAGACCAAATCGAACGAAGTAAAAATTTCAGCGGTCGCGTCAAACGCCGACGCCAAAGGGGATGAGCGCGGTTGATCCAGGCTTTACATTTTCGTTACTTATCCTTGCGGTTCGGGATCTTCCAGCGAACGTGTATCTTTCATCCCTCGCTTTCCCTTCCGCTTTTTCCTCCTTTTTTCCCCTCTCCTTTTTGCCCTTCGTTTCCTCGCGCGTTTACACGTTTAATTGCGAGCAAGAGGGAAACGATGGATTTTGGAGGGAATTAGGCTTCTGGCAAGGGTGAAGTTAGTTTAGTTGTAATTGTAGTGCGATCGGTGAGGGTTCTGCAATATTTTCCTTCGATGGGTGAGGAATTTTTAATATATGCACATTATGTAATATAGTATTTATTGTTTATGCGATTTCATCGTAGGATAATGATTTACGAGCAAGGTATATACAGGGTGTTCGAAAGAAACGTATACACACTTTAACCCTTTGCATATTTATAGTTACTTCAAATAAGCTATATCCTGTAAAATTTTAATTGATCAACATTGTAATTATTAATATTGATTTTTCTTCTCTTTATTCAATCTCGTTATTAAATCAATTTTATTATTGTTACATTTGGAAATAGTATTTTTATGTATCGTCGAGGTAAGAGGGTAATATTATGTCCATCATGAGTATACTTCTACAACCATATTTAATATTACCTTCTCAAAAATATTTTTATAATATTTATAGTTACTTCAAATTAACTATATCCTGTAAGATTTTAATTAATCAACATTGTAATTATTAATTTTTATTTTTCTCCTTTTTATTCAATCTCATTATTAAATCAATTTTATTATTGTTATATTTGGAAATAATATTTTTATGCATTCTAATATATTTATCCATTAATTCCAGGAGTGTTATTAAAATGTAAATTCGATTAAAACCTCTTCCAAACTTTTCGAGGAAAGAATAATCGACACAGTAATTTCTTTCTTACAACATTGATTAATTTTATAATTATTCGCTCTTTTGGGTATAATCAGAGCTTCGAATCTCTGATATGGGAGTGAATAAGGAAGTTCTATAGAAAGTATTATAGAATATTTAACCCTTTGTACTCGACAATTTTTTGGCTAGAGAAGAGTAGAAAATCAAAGATTCTCTATTATAAAACTGACGATACTTTTTTGAGCAGTGAATAAAGAATTGTATAATAATAGAATTGTAGAATTATTTGATTTCGATACCTTGCACACTGTTACATGTGGATTTGCTTTTATTAGTGTGAATGCAAGTGTGTGAGGTC